TCACACACCAACTTGGTTCTTAGTCCCAAAACCAACAACGCTTTTCACTCGTTTGAAAACTTAACACTTTCAATCACCTGTCCTGGGTGGAGAAAACAAAAAGCAGTACAATTTATTGTTTTATACCGACCTCCTGGTCCTTACAGCGAGTTCCTAACAGAATTCTCTGACTTCATTTCAAACCTAGTTTTGGAATGGGAAAACATAGTTATAGCTGGAGACTTCAATATACATGTGGACGACAGCACTGACAGCTTAAACAAAGCTTTCAGCGCCGTACTAGATGGTGTTGGTTTTACTCAGAATGTCGAGGAACCTACTCACATTCATAACCACACCTTGGACCTTGTCCTGACCTACGGCTGTGATGTCTCCAATGTTGACATCCAGCGTCAAAGCTCGTTGCTGTCTGACCATTTCTTGATCACGTTTGATCTCGCTTTGGAGGACTTTGCTGTCCCGCAAGATAAAACCATAATGAAAAGAACCTTAAATGATAAATCTATCACAAGGTTCAAAGAACTAATACAGCCTATGTTGAATACTGCTGCAGGTGAACCTGTTCACAGCTGCTGCAGTCCCTCAGTCATTGACCAAACGGTGGGCAACACTATGGAGTCTTTAAAATCTGCATTAAATGCAGCAGCTCCTTTAAAACAGAAAACCATTAGGATTAGATCATCGTCGCCCTGGTACAGTGTTCAACTCCACACTTTAAAACAGGACGTCAGAAAATTGGAGAGGCTATATCGCCACTCCCACTCGGAGCCTGTCCACGGGGAGTGGAAAGCAGGTCTCCGAAACTACAAGAAGGCCCTTCGCGGGGCTCGAACTCAATACTATTCAACTTTAATAGAAGCGAATAAAAACAGTAGATTTTTGTTTGGCACCGTCGCTAAACTCACAAACTGCCATAGCGCAATCGAGCCTAAAATTCCAAGCTCACTGAGCAGTGTCGACTTTCTCCACTTCTTTAATAATAAAATTACATCCATCCGTGACAAGCTGGAGGAGGTTGCTCCTGCTGTTAGTGGTGGACAGGTTGAAGCGGCATACGTGACTTCCCACTTAGACTCTTCAGTGGGCCTTGATAAATTCATGGCTGTGAGCCAAGCAGAGGTGATCTCTGTGGTCACATCCTCAAAAGCCTCAACTTGCATGTTAGACGCAGTCCCGACATGGCTCTTCAAAGACATACTTCCTTTGATAATTGAGCCTATCGTAAATATAATAAACGCATCCATACAATGTGGCTATGTCCCACAAGCTTTTAAAACCGCGGTAATCAAACCCCTTCTGAAGAAAACAAACCTGGACCCAGAAATACTTACAAACTACAGACCAATCTCAAACCTCACTTTTATATCTAAAATCCTGGAAAAACGTATAGCTGAGCAGCTCCGCTGCCACCTGCAGGAAAATGATATGTTTGAAGTCTTTCAATCAGGATTCAGAGTTCATCATAGCACTGAAACGGCACTAGTCAAAGTCACAAATGACTTACTACTAGCTGCTGATAATGGACAAGTGTCAGTGCTGGTCCTACTGGACCTTAGTGCTGCATTTGACACAATATACCACAGCATTCTACTGCAGAGGCTAGAATGTGATATAGGTCTTAGAGGAACAGCCCTTGGCTGATTTAAATCCTATTTATCAGATCGATATCACTTCGTCAATGTGAATCAGGACTCGTCGCCTTATTCTGGAGTGGAATTCGGTGTGCCGCAGGGTTCGGTACTCGGACCGATTCTTTTTACTCTCTACATGCTGCCACTGGGAAACATTATTAAAAAGCATGGAATTAATTTCCACTTCTATGCAGATGACACACAGCTTTATCTGTCGATGAAGCCTAATCAGACAGATCAGCTAGAAAAGCTCAGTGCCTGCATAAAGGACCTTAAAATGTGGATGACTCTTAACTTCCTACTTCTCAACCCGGAGAAGACAGAAGTGATCCTACTCGGTCCGAAGCGCCTGCGTGACTCCCTCACTAACCAGATGGTTACTCTCGATAATGTCAGTATAATACCCAGTAACACTGTGAGGAATCTTGGAGTCATTTTTGACCAAGAACTCTCCTTCAAGGCTTATATAAGCCAAGCAACTAAAACGGCGTACTTTCACTTACGGAACATCGCTAAAATTAGGAATTTCCTTCCTAAAAGTGACGCGGAAAAACTCATTCACGCGTTTGTCACCTCAAGGCTCGACTACTGTAACGCTTTACTGGCAGCGTGCCCTAAAGCCTCTTTGAAGAGCTTCCAGCTCGTTCAGAATACAGCAGCTAGGATCTTAACAGGTACCAAAAGGAGGGAGCACATAACTCCGGTGTTAAAATCACTCCACTGGCTCCCTGTGGAGTACAGAATAAAGTTTAAAATCCTACTCTTAACATATAAAGCCATAAATGGCTTGGCTCCTTCTTATCTCCAAGACACGTTAGTGTCGTATCAACCAGGTCGAGCGTTGCGCTCACAAAACGCCAGACGTCTGGTGGTCCCTAAGGTCTCAAAGGTCACTGTTGGTGGCAGAGCATTTAGCTACCAAGCTCCTTTACTGTGGAATCAGCTTCCCATTTATGTTAAGGAAGCAGATACGGTCTCCACATTCAAGGCCAGGCTTAAAGCACTTTACTTTAATTTAGCATATAATTAGGTAATATATAATATGTAGTGTATATATTATATATATATGCTGTATTATGTTATATATTATGTTATATATTATTCAATAATGTATTGTGTTATGTTGTATATTATGTTATATATTATGCTGTATGTTATTCTTTATTCAAGGCTAGGTTTAAAACAGTCCTCTTTAGTTTAGCATATGGCTAGGAAGGTAAGACTCGGAGAAGGTTAAACTCCTCAGAGTGTCAGTCAAGCTGCATAGGGAGTCAGTTTGCTGGGAGAAGTATGGTAACTTGAGCACTATCCTCTCCTCCTTCCTACTTTATCTGTTTAGCATTTTTAGGATTCTGACTGTAGTTTGTTCATTGCTATTCACCCGTTGTCCCATTGTCTGTTTCATGGTACGATGACGGGATCTCTGAGCCTGGCCTCTTCCATCTACACCTGCGGACTGCCCCGCCCGACCCGCCTGGGAGTGCTTCAGTCCTGCACCGGACCTGTCCACGTTCAGCGGCCACTGGTCCACGTCCTGTAGCTAGCTTAGGTCCTGGATCATTAGCCTGTCCGTCCGGAGGAGCGGATCCCTTTCTCATATGGGTCTCCCTCCCTGTGGGTTTCCCTAGTTCTCCTCCAAGGTTTCTCACTTTTTCCCACTGGGTTTCTTAAGAGTTTTTCCTTGTCGATGCAGGAGGGTCTTGTTGGACAGTTAGTGTCCAACAGAAAGGATTGGTGATGATCAGGACACTTTAGCATTCTACAACATGTATGGACATTTTCTTCTGTGTGTACTTTATATTCTTCATGTGTTTTAACTGTTGATTCTCTGACCTGTGTTGGTGATTTCATTGGTTTTGTTAAGTCCTCTGAGATGACTTCTGTTGTGACCTAGGGCTATACAAGAATAAATTGTATTGTGTAAATTGTATTTAATGACCAGGTGTAACAGTTTAACAACATCCTCAACTCATTCAGCGATTAAATATGAAGTCCATAAACTCTTTGGCTCTGACTCTACCACAATCATATTATCCGCATTGTTTTCTGACCCTTAAACATTCACTCTTTGAAAGAAGCAATGTTTTTTTTCTTCTAAGTATCTTTTATCAAATGGTCGAGATGCAGTTTGATGTAAAAGTGCCTAAAACCAAGTGACAGAACTCTTTTGAATGTGCAGGAAAACAGCTGCAGGTCCTGAGCAAAGAAAGAGATGTTGTTTTGTGCTTTTGAATTTTATTTTTATATTTTTTTCTGCCAGAGATGTTGCTGCAGTTCAGTGTTGATGGTTTTATACTGGTCCAGACCAGAGCAGAGAGGATTCATGGTTTTACACTGGTCCAGACCAGAGCAGAGAGGATTCATGGTTTTACACTGGTCCAGACCAGGAATGCAAACTTTTTGATAAAATGCAAATGAACCATTCAGGATTTTACTTTGGACTAGAGCAGAAAAAATGCTCCACCCAGAGGCTACTCCACCTCTATCCATCCATCCATCTATCTATCCATCCATCTATCTATCCATCCATCTATCTATCCATCCATCTATCTAGAGAGTTGCCCCAAAGAGGTAGAGTTCAGTTCCAAGTTTTACAGTTTTTCTCAGTGGCTTTGATGTATTTTTCACATCAAATGATAATGTTATAAAACAGAATTATATGAAAGTAACTGATACATGAACAAAAGTATTAGTGAAGTGTTCAGAGGAGAAACTGCTGCGATGACGTCACACATGACTCAGTGTTCTGGAGGTTGGACTCATAGTTTTGTAAAGTCTGAGAAATGCACCAAAGACACTGAGAAAAACTGTAAGTAGATACAGGGGCTCAAAAGGTGACTAATGGTTAGATAAGCCACATGGTCCAAAGAACTATAAAAGGTAACGGTTTATAGGCAAGGCAAGGCAAAAATAAATGATCTTTAAATGTTTAATCAATTTGAAAATGACCTTTTTAACAAATACAGTTGAAGCAAAACCCATTTCTCTGCAGGAGCTCGGGCCGCGGCGCCATGACCTCCTGTTTCCTCCACGCACACCATAGAGTGCTCTAATGATGCGGCCGTTTGACTGACAGGTGGGCGGGCTCTGGGGAGGGCAGCAGCCGAGGATTATGGGTAAAAGCCGGGGGCAGAGGGGATGGACATTATTCAAGCTCCAGGGACAAACAGAGCAGGAGAAAGACTGCAGCAAAGCATTACTGAGACGTTCATGTTGGCCCCGAACCACAGACACAACAAACAGCTTTAGGCCAGAAGGGACCAGCGCTGGAGTCACATGGTACAGAGGGGACCAGCGCTGGAGTCACATGGTACAGAAGGGACCAGGGCTGAAGACACATGGTACAGAAGGGACCAGCGCTGGAGTCACATGGTACAGAAGGGACCAGGGCTGAAGACACATGGTACAGAGGGGACCAGCGCTGGAGTCACATGGTACAGAGGGGACCAGCGCTGGAGTCACATGGTACAGAGGGGACCAGCGCTGGAGTCACATGGTACAGAAGGGACCAGGGCTGAAGACACATGGTACAGAGGGGACCAGCGCTGGAGTCACATGGTACAGAAGGGACCAGGGCTGAAGACACATGGTACAGAGGGGACCAGCGCTGGAGTCACATGGTACAGAAGGGACCAGGGCTGAAGACACATGGTACAGAGGGGACCAGCGCTGGAGTCACATGGTACAGAAGGGACCAGGGCTGAAGACACATGGTACAGAGGGGACCAGGGCTGAAGACACATGGTACAGAGGGGACCAGGGCTGGAGTCACATGGTACAGAAGTGAAATATAAAGTAATTACTGATGCTATATACAGTATTTGTAACGAAGGCATTAACAAAAACTGGGTAATGTTTAACTTGGTACAAAAGTCTGTAACGATACTTTGTACTCTGCACGAGAGAAAACACTTCTGCTGCAGAGAAACCAGAGAGACCGGAGAAAGACCGGAGAGAGACCAGAGAGAGACCAGAGAGAGAACAGAGAGAGACCAGAGAGAGACCAGAGAGAGACCAGAGAGAGACCAGAGAGAGACCAGAGAGAGACCAGAGAGAGACCAGAGAGAGAACAGAGAGAGACCAGAGAGAGACCAGAGAGAGAACAGAGAGAGACCAGAGAGAGACCAGAGAGAGACCAGAGAGAGACCAGAGAGAGACAAGAGAGAGAGATACCAGAAAGAGAGAGAGACCAGAGAGAGACCAGAGAAAAACCAGAGAGAGGTGCTCCGCTCTGAAAGAGGACTGTGATCTGTTTGTTCTGTAGGTTCTTTATGACTCTTAGAATAACCAATGACTTTTGTGGCTCCTGGAAAAACCAATGTTCCAGCTTCTTCCCTCTGGCAGAAGATAACGTTGGCTGCAGGACATCTGAATATGCTAACATGCTAATCGATTTCACAGAGACAAATGTTTTGTGTTCTTTTTAGCTTGTTTTATTCATATATTTGTCTGGTCCACACTGCGGGACTCTCGCACAAGAATTCCAATGTGGTTTTACTGCAAATTTCAAATACAGTGAATCTGGCTCTGGGGGTGTCAGAATCCCCGTGTGTGGTGTGTGTCTCCATCACAGAGGCGACCGGGTGCGACGCCGCCGGGGGAGACACGGGTCGGATCTGGCTCGTGAAAAACGTCGTCATGACAACCGCATCGCCGCACCGTCACGCCTCCTCCGTCGACGCACTTCAATCCCGCCGTTAAACATGAACCGTTGCAATTTCCCACTTCCATCAAAAGCAATGGAGCATGTGACATCACAACGTTTCAAAGAGCATTTAGTTTCAGGTTGTGGTTTCACTTTCCCGGTAACTATAGTAACCATGGAAAGTGTCATTCCTGGAGCATCAACTAACCAAAAGATCTCTATCTTCTTCTTCTGGTCTCTCTCTGGTCTCTCTCTCTGTTCTCCCTCAGGTATCTATTCTTTCCTAGGTCTCTCTCTCTGGTCTCTTCCTGGTCTCTATCTCTCTGGACGTTCCCTCAGGTCGCTCTCTGGTTTCTCTCTAGTCTCTCTCCAGTCTCTCTATAGTCTCTCTCTAGTCTCTCTCTGGTCTCTCTCTGGTCTCTCTCTGGTCTCTCTCTGGTTTCTCTCTGGTCTCTCTCCAGTCTCTCTCTAGTCCCTCTCTAGTCTCTCTCTGGTCTCTCTCTAGTCTCTCTCTGGTCTCTCTCTGGTCTCTCTCCAGTCTCTCTCTAGTCCCTCTCTAGTCTTTCTCTGGTCTCTCTCTAGTCTCTCTCTGGTCTCTCTCTAGTCTCTCTCTGCTCTCTCTCTGATCTCTCTCTTGTCTCTCTCTGCTCTCTCTCTGGTCTCTCTCTGCTCTCTCTCTGGTCTCTCTCTGGTCTCTCTCTGGTCTCTCTCTGTTCTCTCTCTGGTCTCTCTCTGGTCTCTCTCTGGCCTCTCTGTGGTTTCTCTCTGATCTCTTTAGTCTCTCCCTAGTCTCTCTCTAGTCTCTCTCTAGTCCCTCTCTAGTCTACCTCATGGCCTCTCTCTGGTCCCTCTATGGTCTCTCTCTAGTCTCTCTATGGTGTCTCTGGTCTCTCTGTGGTCCTTGGTACTCGCGCAGTAACTTTATCAGACTTAAAGTGAATTTTGACCCATTCCTCTCAGGATTACGCCAGTATTTCCACACCTCTCTCACAAACGCCTTCTTTCCCACAGTGTTGCATTTGCCGCTGCAGAAATACAGAACCACTAATCTACAAAATGACACACATGAGTTTCATCGTTTGTCTTTCTGGTTTCTCTGATGCGACCTCTGAACAGTCACACCTCTGTTTTGTTCTTCATTCTTTCACCGAAACAAAAGAAACAGATTTGGCTCATTCCGAGTCAGATTTATTCACGAAGCAGCCGCAGAGCTCAGTGGACTGTGAAAACTGATGACAGAACCTGAGGCTGGAGCTGCGGAAAATCTACCATAACTATTTAATCTCCTGTTAATCTCATGTGTTGTGATAGAAATACTGGAATAATCCTAATCCTGAAATTATGAAATGTTTACAGACTGCAGAATGTTGAACTGAGACAACAGTGAGAAAGGCTGGCGAGCTACATCCACGGTCACAGGTGAATTCTGTCGAACTTCTCTCTTTTTCACTGGGGATTACAGGAGAACAGAACTAGCTGGAAACAAAAATATTTTTGCTGGTGAAAGTAGACAGTGCAGTCTTTCAGAATCAGGTTCCATATTTTACACAGTCTTAGCACGCAATATTCTGTGGGTCTTGAAAGTCAGTGAAATCATCAAAATCGACTGGTAGCCAATGAGTTAAGATTTGGCACTGAGACTCCGGCAGAGCACGGCACAAAGATTGCAGAAGTGGGAATAGAGATTATGAGGTGAAATTCCCCGGGGCCTAGATCCTGAAGGTGGGAGCGAGGAGAAGGGGGAGAGAGCTGGTCCGGCCGACGAGGCGGAGATGGGGAGGAGGAGGGTTGCTGCATGACTGAAAGCTTTTATGTAAGAGCTTGGTTCTTCCTGTCTTTCTGTTAATCTCATGTGTCGCGATAGAAATACTGGAATAATCCTAATCCTGAAATTATAACTGTTTACAGACTGCAGAACGTAGAACCGAGACGACAGTGGGAAAGGCGGGCGTGTTGTTTGGACTGTACACAGATGGACAATGCTAACCTGGCAGCTCAATGAAGACCAATAGGGAAGTGCTGAAGACATGAGGAGAACATGCAAACTCCTCTCAGAAAGGCCCTGTCTGGGGGTATCCAGTCTCAGTCCAAGTCCAGTCTCAGTCCAAGTCCAGTCTCAGTCCAGTCTCAGTCCGGGTTCCCCTACCACTATAAACATGTGCAGTTGGTCTGGTATGCGGCTCCTGTGTGATCCCCTCTACTCCCATCTCACAACAGGAGCTCTGGGGTCTGGGCAAGGCCTACGTAAATTAAAAAATATAAAAAAATCAATTACTGCACAAAAAACTAATTTCAAAGCGAGTATTAGTGCTGATAAAAGTGTTTTGCAAAAACCAAACGGAGCAGAAAGAGTTCCCACCGAAAGTGACCAAATTAAAAATGTATTTTCTCATCGGGATTGTGGGAAAATTAATTGGTTCTGTGGCGAAAAGACGAATTTTAATCCACTGCTGTTCTCCTCCGATGTAGCTTCAAAACGATTAAAGCTGCAGCACGTAACTTTAACTTTAGCTTTAACTAAACAAATCTGCGTCATAGATCCTGGCTCTAAAACAGTTTCTTCTATCACTAGTTTCATGTGTTTTCAGCCTCTGTCACATCTGTAGATCCACTTTTTCAGACAGAAAAGGTTAGAAGACAGGACCACCCTCACTCGGCCAATCAGCTCTCAGCTCAAAGAGTCAAAAAGTGACTCACAGGGATCTTTCTCACACAAAGACAGATGAAGACAGTACGCTGTGGTCTGATTGGCCTGAACTTATGAGAAATGGTAATCTTTTGTGTAAGAAAGAGCCCTGTGAGTCACTATCTGACTCTTTGGGCATCATACCAGTGATTGACAGAACTATGGTCAGTGTCAGTACATTTATAGTCATGAAGCTTAAGCGCAAATTCAGGATCGCTCAGTTCTCCTGCTGTTGCCCACAGCAACAGCAATCTGTCAATCACACTCAGCTGCAGCGCCTCGCGCAAATCCTCACCTGCATCAGGCACTGCCCACATCAGCTTCATATCACACAGAAGCTCCATCCAAGCAGCTTCATATCACACAGAAGCTCCATCCAAGCAGCTTCATATCACACAGAAGCTCCATCCAAGCAGCTTCATATCACACAGAAGCTCCATCCAAGCAGCTTCATATCACACAGAAGCTCCATCCAAGCAGCTTCATATCACACAGAAGCTCCATCCAAGCAGCTTCATATCACACAGAAGCTCCATCCAAGCAGCTTCATATCACACAGAAGCTCCATCCAAGCCTCAGCTTCATATCACACAGAAGCTCCATCCAAGCCTCAGCTTCATATCACACAGAAGCTCCATCCAAGCAGCTTCATGTCACACAGAAGCTCCATCCAAGCAGCTTCATGTCACACAGAAGCTCCATCCAAGCCTCAGCTTCATATCACACAGAAGCTCCATCCAAGCAGCTTCATTCATGCCGCAAGTCTCACTCGTCACCCGCACACGGCGCTGTCTCTTCTTCGGGGGTTAAAAGTATCTCTCAACACTGCTTTGCATCAAATCAGTGCCTGGTGGTGGTCCCTACGTACTGCACACAGTCATATACAGTAATTGCATTAGTCCTGGATCTACAGCCCATCCGTCCGTGTGGAGCGGTTCCCTCTCTCAAAATATGGGTCTCCCCGAGGTTTCTCATTTTTTCTCACTGGGTTTTTGAGTTTTTCCTTGCCGATGCAGGTGGGTCTGTTGGACCCCCTATGGGTCTAACAAAAAGGGCCGCGGTGATGATCCAGAACATTTAGAGACACTATCGTTTCAGTTATTCCTGCGATGAACTGTAGCATCCGCTTACGTCACTTCGCGCAGCACTAATAATTGCCTCCTTCATCAGCAGCCTCAGGTCATTCCCGTTGGCCTGCGCTGCTGACAGACATCAAATATCTTCAGGTAATCATTCCGTTTCATTCACGGCCTTGTTCCCTGGCAAGCACTTTCCAAGGTGCCTTTTGGGGGATTTCATCTCATAATCTCTTTCCCCTTCTGCATCGTGTCTAAGGCCAAATCCCAACCACATTCTGTTCAGCACCATAAATGTAATCTTGAAAATATTGTCTTTAGTGTCATGTGTGTAATTCATGTCAGATTACTGCCGACCAACACACAATTCTAATAATATGTTTTGCCTGTTCCAGTCTCTCCAGATTTAAATACTTTAGAGCTAATTTATCTGCATTCCACATGAAACAAAAACTATATCAAAGCTCCACATCTTCTCTCCAGTCTCTCTCTGGTCTCTCTCGGGTCTCTTTCTGGTCTCTCTCTGGTCTCATTCTAGTCCCTCTCTGGTCCCTCTCTATAGTCTCTCTCTGGTCTCTCTCTCTGATCTCTCTCTGGTCTCTGTCTGGTCTCTCTCTGGTCTCTTTCTGGCCTCTCTCTGGTCTCATTCTGGTCCTTCTCTATAGTCTCTCTCTGGTCTCTCTGTCTGGTCTCTCTCTGGTCTCTTTCTAGTCTCTCTCTGATCTCTCTCTGGTCTCTCTCTGATCTCTCTCTGGTCTCTCTCTGGTCTCACTCTGGTCTCTCTCTGGTCTCTCTCTGGTCTCTCGTCTTTCTCTGGTCTCTCTGATCTCTCTCTAGTCTCTCTATGGTCTCTCTGATCTCTCTCTGGTCTCTCTCTGGTCTCTCTGATCTCTCTCTGGTCTCTCTCTGATCTCTCTCTGATCTCTCTCTGGTCTCTCTCTGGTCTCTCTGGTCTCTCTGGTCTCTCTCTGGTCTCTCTCTGGTCTCTCTGGTCTCTCTGGTCTCTCTCTGGTCTCTCCGGTCTCTTTCTAGACTCCGGTGCCACAGTGAGGCGGCTGCGGCTGTAAAGTGACAAACTAGAACATTGAAAATAATAACAAATTTAAAGCTATCGTCTCATTTCCTGTGTTCTCATGCCAGTCGTCTCATACTCCATAAAACCCTCTCCACTCCTGGCCGGGTCCTGCTGTGGTTTAAAGATGGCTGCACGTCGAGCTGTATTTCCTGTGTCGGTTAATCTCTGCAGAGTCGGTGAATCCGCATTGTTCCAAATCCATTCTCAGATTAAACGTGGGATTATGGAGGATTAAAATTCACCTTTTCCACCCGCTGCTGTAAATTTGCCCGATTAAAACACATCTGGGATTAAGGGAGAGAAAACACCCAAATGTGATCGCTGCAAAAGAGAAGAAACAGGTTTGTTTTTGTGGCGTTGAATGTGACGGATTTAAAGCTGGGGTACGTAACTTTCAGACCGCAATGACAGAACTCCTGGTTCTTTCACAAAAGTGTAATCTCATATAATCTATAAAACATGTTTCTACCTTGGACGGTGAGAGACCAGAGAGAGACCAGAGACTAGAGAGAGACCAGAGAGAGACCAGAGACTAGAGATAGACCAGAGAGAGACCAGACAGAGACCAGAGAGAGAGACCAGACAGAGACCAGAGAGAGAGACCAGAGAGAGAGAGACCAGAGAGAGAGACCAGACAGAGACCAGAGAGAGAGACCAGAGAGAGACCAGAGACAAGAGATAGACCAGAGAGAGACCAGACAGAGACCAGAGAGAGAGACCAGACAGAGACCAGGGAGAGAGACCAGAGAGAGAGAGACCAGAGAGAGAGACCAGACAGAGACCAGAGAGAGAGACCAGAGAGAGAGAGACCAGGGAGAGAGCAGAGAGAGACCATAGGGAAAGGGACTAGAGAGAGACCAGAGAGAGACTAGACTTGGCCCCGGTCTCGCTGCGGTCCGACTTGTGCTGAGGTGTTGTGTGGTTTTTGCAGCGGAGACAAAAGCTGAGGCCATAATTAACCGAATCCCACTGAATACCGCGGAGACGGTCGATGTGAGATTACAGCTTTGGTGTCGGCCGTTTGTACCGATCACGGCCGTGAAGAGACTCATTGATTTCACTTTGCAGCAGCACAAAGGAGAGAGGAGACTTAACAAAGACTTTCTGTGACACACAAAAAGAACGCACAAACAGAACGCAAAAAAAGAACACTGTGTGGCAGCGTGGAATTTAGTTAAACCAGGTCCTCCATCTGCTCTCGGTCTGTTGTGTAAGAACCAGCAGAACTCTCTGGCCTCTCTCTCTGGTCTCTCTCTGGTCTCTCTCTCTGGTCTCTCTCTGGTCTCTCTCTCTAGTCTCTCTCTAGTCTCTCTCTGGTCTCTCTCTGTTCTCTCTCTGTTCTCTCTCTGGTCTCTCTCTCTGGCCTCTCTCTCTGGCCTCTCTCTCTGGTCTCCCTCTCTGGTCTCTCTCTGGTCTCCCTCTCTGGTCTCTCTCTGGTCTCTCTCTCTAGTCTCTCTCTAGTCTCTCTCTGGTCTCTCTCTGGTCTCTCTCTGGTCTCTCTCTCTGGCCTCTCTCTCTGGTCTCTCTCTGATCTCGCTCTGGTCTCTCACGGGTCTCTCTCTCTCTCTCTCTCTGGCCTCTCTCTCTGGTCTCTCTCTGGTCTCCCTCTGGTCTCTCTCTCTGGTCTCTCTCTGGTCTCTCTCTCTAGTCTCTCTCTGGTCTCTCTCTGGTCTCTCTCTAGTCTCTCTCTGGTCTCTCTCTGGTCTCTCTCTCTGGCCTCTCTCTCTGGTCTCTCTCTGGTCTCTCTCTGATCTCGCTCTGGTCTCTCACGGGTCTCTCTCTCTCTCTCTCTGGTCTCTCTCTGGTCTCTCTCTGGTCTCTCTCTCTGGCCTCTCTCTCTGGCCTCTCTCTCTGGTCTCTCTCTGGTCTCCCTCTCTGGTCTCTCTCTGGTCTCTCTCTCTGGCCTCTCTCTCTGGTCTCTCTCTGGTCTCTCTCTCTGGCCTCTCTCTCTGGCCTCTCTCTCTGGCCTCTCTCTCTGGTCTCCCTCTCTGGTCTCTCTCTGGTCTCTCTCTCTGGCCTCTCTCTCTGGTCTCTCTCTGGTCTCTCTCTGGTCTCTCTCTCTGGTCTCTCTCTGGTCTCTCTCTCTAGTCTCTCTCTAGTCTCTCTCTGGTCTCTCTCTGGTCTCTCTCTGGTCTCTCTCTCTGGCCTCTCTCTCTGGTCTCTCTCTGATCTCGCTCTGGTCTCCCACGGGTCTCTCTCTCTCTCTCTCTCTGGCCTCTCTCTCTGGTCTCTCTCTGGTCTCCCTCTCTGGTCTCTCTCTGGTCTCTCTCTCTGGTCTCTCTCTGGTCTCTCTCTCTAGTCTCTCTCTGGTCTCTCTCTGGTCTCTCTCTAGTCTCTCTCTGGTCTCTCTCTGGTCTCTCTCTCTGGCCTCTCTCTCTGGTCTCTCTCTGGTCTCTCTCTCTGGCTCTCTCTCTCTGGTCTCTCTCTGGTCTCTCTCTGATCTCGCTCTGGTCTCTCACGGGTCTCTCTCTCTCTCTCTCTGGTCTCTCTCTGGTCTCTCTCTGGTCTCTCTCTCTGGCCTCTCTCTCTGGTCTCTCTCTGGTCTCTCTCTGGTCTCTCTCTCTGGTCTCTCTCTCTGGTCTCTCTCTCTAGTCTCTCTCTAGTCTCTCTCTGGTCTCTCTCTGGTCTCTCTCTGGTCTCTCTCTCTGGCCTCTCTCTCTGGTCTCTCTCTGATCTCGCTCTGGTCTCTCACGGGTCTCTCTCTCTCTCTCTCTCTGGCCTCTCTCTCTGGTCTCTCTCTGGTCTCCCTCTCTGGTCTCTCTCTGGTCTCTCTCTCTGGCCTCTCTCTCTGGCCTCTCTCTGGTCTCTCTCTCTCTGGCTCTCTTCTCTCTGGCCTCTCTCTCTGGTCTCCCTCTCTGGTCTCTCTCTGGTCTCTCTCTCTGGCCTCTCTCTCTGGTCTCTCTCTGGTCTCTCTCTGGTCTCTCTCTGGTCTCTCTCTGGTCTCTCTCTCTGGTCTCTCTCTGGTCTCCCTCTCTGGTCTCTCTCTGGTCTCTCTCTCTGGCCTCTCTCTCTGGTCTCTCTCTGGTCTCTCTCTGGTCTCTCTCTCTGGTCTCTCTCTCTAGTCTCTCTCTCTGGTCTCTCTCTGGTCTCTCTCTAGTCTCTCTCTGGTCTCTCTCTGGCCTCTCTCTCTGGCCTCTCTCTCTGGTCTCTCTCTGGTCTCCCTCTCTGGTCTCTCTCTGGTCTCTCTCTCTGGCCTCTCTCTCTGGTCTCTCTCTGGTCTCTCTCTCTGGTCTCTCTCTGGTCTCTCTCTCTCTAGTCTCTCTCTGGTCTCTCTCTGGTCTCTCTCTGTTCTCTCTCTGTTCTCTCTCTGGTCTCTCTCTCTGGCCTCTCTCTCTGGTCTCTCTCTGGTCTCTCTCTGGTCTCTCTCTCTCTAGTCTCTCTCTGGTCTCTCTCTGGTCTCTCTCTGTTCTCTCTCTGTTCTCTCGCTGGCCTCTCTCTCTGGTCTCCCTCTCTGGTCTCCCTCTCTGGTCTCTCTCTGGTCTCTCTCTCTGGCCTCTCTCTCTGGTCTCTCTCTGGTCTCTCTCTGGTCTCTCTCTCTAGTCTCTCTCTGGTCTCCTCTCTGGTCTCTCTCTGGTCTCTCTCTCTGGTCTCTCTCTGGTCTCTCTCTCTGGCCTCTCTCTCTGGTCTCTCTCTGGTCTCTCTCTCTGGTCTCTCTCTGGTCTCTCTCTCTCTAGTCTCTCTCTGGTCTCTCTCTGTTCTCTCTCTGTTCTCTCTCTGGTCTCTCTCTCTGGCCTCTCTCTCTAGTCTCTCTCTGGTCTCTCTCTGGTCTCTCTCTGTTCTCTCTCTGTTCTCTCGCTGGCCTCTCTCTCTGGTCTCCCTCTCTGGTCTCCCTCTCTGGTCTCTCTCTGGTCTCTCTCTCTGGCCTCTCTCTCTGGTCTCTCTCTGGTCTCTCTCTGGTCTCTCTCTCTAGTCTCTCTCTGGTCTCTCTCTGGTCTCCCTCTCTGGTCTCCCTCTCTGGTCTCTCTCTGGTCTCTCTCTCTGGCCTCTCTCTCTGGTCTCTCTCTGGTCTCTCTCTGGTCTCTCTCTCTAGTCTCTCTCTGGTCTCTCTCTGGTCTCTCTCTGGTCTCTCTCTCTGGCCTCTCTCTCTGGTCTCTCTCTGGCCTCTCTCTCTGGTCTCTCTCTGGTCTCTCTCTGGTCTCTCTCTGGTCTCTCTCAGGTCTTTCTCTGTTCTCTCTCTGGTCTCTCTGTAAATTGAATTCAATGTAAGTAAGTAACATCAGAAAGAACCTGTCTGGAGGTGGAATCAAACCCAGGACCTTCTTGACGATGGCTGAAGTTGGAAGCCCCCTCACTCTCAGTCTCTCAGTGAGTTTGTACAGATTTGTCCTATTTAATTTGGATGTTTCTGCCCTGCACCTGTGTGTGTTCACGTGTGTATCTGCCCGTGGCCTTGTGCATGAGCAGTGCTATACAAATAACCTAGATTCCATCACTCGTCTTCATCTAATCCCGGTTTGTCCCGAATGCTTTCCCTTTCTGCCTCAGCCTGAATGCGGCGGTGTGGTCGTGAAACCGCAACAAAAGATATGGAGGATGTGCGTGTGGATGTGGCGCCCGCCTGGATGTGGCGCCCGCTGGAGCCGCTCTGGCATTTGTAAAGCGTTCCCCTGGAGCGTAAATACGAGATTATGGCAATAATGGACGGATTCTCCTCGGAGCACGGAGACTGAAGCTGCAGAGACTGAAGCTGTAGAGACTGAAGCTGTAGAGACTGAAGCTGCAGAGACTGAAGCTGCAGAGACTGAAGCAGAGACTGAAGCTGCAGAGACTGAAGCTGCAGAGACTGAAGCTGCAGAGACTGAAGCTGCAGAGACTGAAGCTGCAGAGACTGAAGCTGCAGAGACTGAAGCAGAGACTGAAGCTGCAGAGACTGAAGCAGAGACTGAAGCTGCAGAGACTGAAGCAGAGACTGAAGCTGCAGCGACTGAAGCAGAGACTGAAGCTGCAGAGACTGAAGCTGCAGCGACTGAAGCTGCAGAGACTGAAGCTGCAGCGACTGAAGCAGAGACTGAAGCTGCAGAGACTGAAGCTGCAGCGACTGAAGCTGCAGAGACTGAAGCTGCAGAGACTGAAGCAGAGACTGAAGCTGCAGAGACTGAAGCTGCAGAGACTGAAGCTGCAGAGACTGAAGCTGCAGAGACTGAAGCAGAGACTGAAGCTGCAGAGACTGAAGCTGCAGAGACTGAAGCTGCAGAGACTGAAGCTGCAGAGACTGAAGCAGAGACTGAAGCTGCAGAGACTGAAGCAGAGACTGAAGCTGCAGCGACTGAAGCAGAGACTGAAGCTGCAGAGACTGAAGCTGCAGCGACTGAAGCTGCAGAGACTGAAGCAGAGACTGAAGCTGCAGCGACTGAAGCAGAGACTGAAGCTGCAGAGACTGAAGCAGAGACTGAAGCAGAGACTGAAGCTGCAGAGACTGAAGCTGCAGAGACTGAAGCTGCAGAGACAGGGTTCAACTGTGGAATAATTTGGAGCGGGAGATGAAACATAGTCCAAACATTAATGTGTTCAAATTTAAATACAAACAAAAGACTTTCGATAAATATAAAGAGGAGGAAATTATATGTCACTAGGGGGCGCAATCGGGCTAAAATAAATTGGTGTTTGTTTTTGTTTTTTTTTTTTGTTTTTTTTTATTTCTATTTTATCAACTTCGTTTTGTTGCTTATTATAGTCATTATGATCTTTATTGACCTTGAAGAGTGATGTTGCTTTAAACAGTTGCCATTATTTGCCGTTAATTTTGCTGTTATCGTCTGTTCTTTCTTGTTTATTTTTTACATTTGCATAGTTGCTGTTCTATGTAAAGTGTGTATATTTTTATGTAGTGTTTTGGGGGTGGGCACCAATAAGCTTTTGCTTCGGCCCACTCCTTTTGAGCAGTACTTGTCTGCTCAAATAAACAAATAAATAAATAAATAAAATAAATAAATAAAACTGAAGCTGTAGAGACTGAAGCAGAGACTGAAGCTGCAGAGACTGAAGCTGCAGGGACTGAAGCTACAGAGACTGAAGCTGCAGAGACTGAAGCTGCAGAGACTGAAGCAGAGACTGAAGCTGCAGAGACTGAAGCTGCAGAGACTGAAGCTGCAGCGACTGAAGCTGAGACTGAAGCTGCAGAGACTGAAGCTGCAGAGACTGAAGCTGCAGAGACTGAAGCAGAGACTGAAGCTGCAGAGACTGAAGCTGCAGAGACTGAAGCTGCAGAGACTGAAGCAGAGACTGAAGCTGCAGAGACTGAAGCTGCAGAGACTGAAGCTGCAGAGACTGAAGCTGCAGCGACTGAAGCTGCAGCGACTGAAGCTGAGACTGAAGCTGCAGAGACTGAAGCTGCAGAGACTGAAGCTGCAGAGACTGAAGCTGCAGAGACTGAAGCTGCAGAGACTGAAGCAGAGACTGAAGCTGCAGAGACTGAAGCTGCAGAGACTGAAGCTGCAGAGACTGAAGCTGCAGAGACTGAAGCTGTAGAGACTGAAGCAGAGACTGAAGCTGCAGAGACTGAAGCTGCAGAGACTGAAGCAGAGACTGAAGCTGCAGAGACTGAAGCAGAGACTGAAGCTGCAGAGACTGAAGCAGAGACTGAAGCTGCAGAGACTGAAGCAGAGACTGAAGCTGCCGAGACTGAAGCTGCCGAGACTGAAGCTGCAGACACTGAAGCTGCAGAGACTGAAGCTGCAGAGACTGAAGCTGCAGAGACTGAAGCTGCAGAGACAGAAGCAGAGACTGAAGCTGCAGAGACTGAAGCAGAGACTGAAGCTGCAGAGACTGAAGCAGCAGAGACTGAAGCTGCAGAGACTGAAGCTGCAGAGACTGAAGCAGAGACTGAAGCTGCAGAGACTGAAGCAGAGACTGAAGCTGCAGAGACTGAAGCAGAGACTGAAGCTGCCGAGACTGAAGCTGCAGACACTGAAGCTGCAGAGACTGAAGCTGCAGAGACTGAAGCTGCAGAGACTGAAGCAAAGACTGAAGCTGCAGAGACTGAAGCAGCAGAGACTGAAGCAGAGACTGAAGCTGCAGAGACTGAAGCTGCAGAGACTGAAGCAGAGACTGAAGCAGCATCTTTACCTCCTGGAGCAGAGTCTGGCCTCTCTCTAGTCTCTATCTCTCTGGTCTCTCTCTGTTCTCTCTCTGGCCTCTCTCTCCCTGGTCTCACCCTCTCTGGTCTCTCTCTGGTCTCTCTCTCTGAACTCTCGCTGGTCTCTTGCTGGTCTCTCTCTGGTCTTGCTCTGGTCTCTCTCTGGTTTCTCTCTGCTCTCTCTCTGGTCTCTCTGCTCTCCCTCTGGTCTCTTGCTGTTCTCTCTGGTCTCTCTCTGGTCTCTCTCGTCTCTCTCTCTGGTCTCTCTTTGTTCTCTCTCTGGTCTCTTGCTGGTCTCTCTCTGATCTCTATCTGGTCTCTCTCTGGTCTCTCTCTGCTCTCTCACTGGTCTCTCACTGGTCTCTTGCTGGTCTCTCTGGTCTCTCTCTGCTCTCTCACTCGTCTCTCACTGGTCTCTTGCTGGTCTCTCTGGTCTCTCTCTGCTCTCTCACTCGTCTCTCACTGGTCTCTTGCTGGTCTCTCTGGTCTCTCTCTGATCTCTCTCTGGTCCAGAGGACTTCCTGGTGCTTCCTTCCACACTGAGCCACTTGGTCATTCATTGGAGAATCTAGTGTAAAACTGAGGCAGAGGCCACAAAAATACAAACGTGAAAACAAGTGATATTAGACAGGAACTATTGAATCAATTACTGTTCTGAGTTTTAAATCCACGACTCCGAGCTTTAAAGAGGACATAGTTCAAACATAGATAATCTCTGGTCTGACTCTATGGTCCGAGCTGAACGACAGGTTTTCGTTTCGATCGTACACTTGTTTTTCTCAGAGAGCAGACGGTGAATCCGACCTTTCCTCCTTGAGCGTCGGAAAAACAAATGGAAAACAACATCATTATGGAAACGAGGAGAAGGAGCAGAGCGAGACCCACACTTTCAATTTCACAATCCTCCATTTCTATTTCCACACCAGCGACGCCAAAGTGGGAGAGATGGAGAAACCCCGGCGCCACACCAGGAGCCGAGGCCACGGGGTTTCTCTGTTTCTGTGCGGAGTTAAATAAAAAGATAAAATGGTAAAGAGGGAAAAAGAGCAAAATGTTCCACTGGAAGAAACTTGTTTGTCGCTGCAGCAGGAATGGGCTTTATGGTTCTATTTTCTCCATGTTTCACAAGCCTCACAAGTCTCTGGTCTCTCGCTGGTCTCTTTCTCTGGTCTCTCTCTGGTCCCTCTCTGATCTATCTTTGGTCTCTCTCTAAACTCTCTTTGGTCTCTCTCTTTGGTCTCTCTCTGGTCTCTCTCCGGTCTCTCTCTCTGGTCTCTCTCTGGTCCCTCTCTGAACTCTCTCTGGTCTCTCTATTTGGTCTCTCTCTGGTCTCTCTCCGGTCTCTCTCTCTGGTCTCTCTCTGGTCCCTCTCTGAACTCTCTCTGGTCTCTCTATTTGGTCTCTCTCTGGTCTCTCTCCGGTCTCTCTCTCTGGTCTCTCTCTGGTCCCTCTCTGAACTCTCTCTGGTCTCTCTATTTGGTCTCTCTCTGGTCTCTCTCCGGTCTCTCTCTCTGGTCTCTCTCTGGTCCCTCTCTGAACTCTCTCTGGTCTCTCTCTTTGGTCACGCTTTGGTCTCTCTCTGGTCTTTCATGACCATGACTGATCTGTGCTCATGTGGAAATGTGTCCTCCCTCTGTGTGTGTGCTTGCTGGTCCTCCCTCTGTGAGTGCGTTTGCTGGTCCTCCCTCTGTGTGTGTGCTTGCTGGTCCTCCCTCTGTGTGTGTGCTTGCTGGTCCTCCCTCTGTGAGTGCGTTTGCTGGTCCTCCCTCTGTGTGTGCGGTTCCTTGTCCTTCCTCTCTCTGTGTTTGTGTTTCTGGTCCTTCCTCTTCTGTGTTTCCTGGTCCTTCCTCTCTGTGTTTCTGGTCCTTTCTTCTCTGTGTTTCCTGGTCCTTCCTCTCTGTTTTTCTTGTCCTTCCTCTCGTTGTTTCTGGTCCTTCCTCTTTGTGCTTCCTGGTCCTCCCTCTCTGTGTGTATGTTTGCTGGTCCATCCTTTCTGTGCTTCCTGGTCCTTCCTCTCTATCTGTATGTTTGCTGGTCCTTCCTTTCTGTGTCTTTCCTGGTCCTTCCTCTCCTGTCTTTCCTGGTCCTTACTCTCTGTGTCTTTCCTGGTCCTTCCTCTCGATGCTTCCTGGTCCTTCCTCTCTGTGTCTTTCCTGGTCCTTCCTCTCTGTCTGTTATGTTTGCTGGTCCTTCCTTTCTGTGTCTTTCCTGGTCCTTCCTCTCCTGTCTTTCCTGGTCCTTCCTTTCTGTGTCTTTCCTGGTCCTTCCTCTCCTGTCTTTCCTGGTCCTTCTTCTCTGTCTTTCCTGGTCCTTCCTCTCGGTGCCTTCTTGGTCCTTCCTCTCTGTGTCTTTCCTGGTCCTTCCTCTCTGTGTGTATGTTTCCTGGTCCTTCCTCTCTGTGCTTACTGGTCCTCCCTCTCTGTGTCATTCCTGGTCCTTCCTCTCGGTGCTTCCTGGTCTTTCCTCTCTGTGTGTGTGTTTCCTGGTCCTTCCTCTCGGTGCTTCCTGGTCCTGCCTCTCTGTGTGTTTTCTGGTCCTTCTCTCGGTGCTTCCTGGTCCTCCCTCTCCTTGTCTTTCCTAGTCCTTCCACTCAGTGCTTCCTGGTCCTTCCTCTCTGTGTGTATGTTTGCTGGTCCTTCCTCTCGGTGCTTCCTGGTGCTTCCTGGTCCTTCCTCTCTGTGTGACCATATTTAGTCGTTCCTTCCTCTGGGGGGATTATCGCCGCAGCCTCAGGACATTCTGCTCTTGTTTATTTCCACCTCTGTTTCTGAATTCGGCACCAGCAAACACACAAGAGGAAGAACCAGCAGACACACACACACAGGAGGGACCAGGAAAAACAGAGAGAGGAAGGACCAGGAAACACACATGACGATAAAACATCAACACATGGTCCGTTCTGACAGTGTGCACTAAATCACAAACTGTCAAAAATCAGCAACAAAACAATTATGGTCTGAATATTTTCAACTAAAGGTGTCATATAAGTAGTCTCTCTGCTCTCTTTTGGTCTCTCTCTGGTCTCTCTCTGCTCTCTCTGGTCTCTCTCTCTGGTCTCTCTCTCTGGTCTCTCTCTGCTCTCTCTCTGGTCTCTCTGGTCTCTCTATGGTCTCTCGCTGGTCTCCCTCTGGTTTCTCTGGTCTCTCTCTCTGGTCTCTCTCTCTGGTCTCTCTCTGGTCTCTCTCTGCTCTCTTTTGGTCTCTCTCTGGTCTCTCTCTGCTCTCTCTGGTCTCTCTCTCTGGTCTCTCTCTCTGGTCTCTCTCTGGTCTCTCTCTGCTCTCTCTCTGGTCTCTCTGGTCTCTCTATGGTCTCTCGCTGGTCTCCCTCTGGTCTCTCTGGTCTCTCTCTCTCTGGTCTCTCTCTGATGTCTCTCTGGTCTCTCTATGGTCTCTCGCTGTTCTGTCTCTGGTCTCTCTTTGGTCTCTTTCTGGTCTCTCTCGTCTCTCTCTGCTCTCTCTCTCTCTAGTCACTCTCTCTGGTTTCTCTCTCTGGTCTCTCACTCTGGTCTCTATCTTATCCCTCTCTGGTCTCTCTCTGGTCTCTCTCTCTAGTCTCTCTCTGGTCTCTCTCTTCTCTCTCTGGTCTCTCTCTCTAGTCTCTCTCTGGTCTCTCTCTGGTCTCTCTCTGGTCTCTCTCTCTAGTCTCTCTCTGGTCTCTCTCTGGTATCTCTCTGGTCTCGCTCTCTAGTCTCTCTCTGGTCTCTCTCTGGTCTCTCTCTCTGGTCTGTCTCTCTCTGGTCTCTCTCTGGTCTCTCTCTGGTCTCTCTCTCTAGTCTCTCTCTGGTCTCTCTCTGGTCTCTCTCTGGTCTCTCTCTCTAGTCTCTCTCTGGTCTCTCTCTCTAGTCTCTCTCTGGTCTCTCTCTGGTCTCTCTCTCTGGTCTCTCTCTGGTCTCTCTCTGGTCTCTCTCTGGTCTCTCTCTCTAGTCTCTCTCTGGTCTCTCTCTCTAGTCTCTCTCTGGTCTCTCTCTGGTCTCTCTCTCTGGTCTCTCTCTGGTCTCTCTCTCTGGTCTCGCTCTGGTCTATTTATGGTCTCTGATATTTATAACATTGTTGTTTATTAAAAAAAATGATCTTTTACAAATCAAAATTCATGATTTTTGCCCAAACCGTTCAGCTTTCGTTTTTGAGCTCGTAACAGCGTCTCCGTTTAGAAAAGATATGATAAGAAACAGTCAAACCTGGACCCTCCACCGCCACCTGCTGTTGCCAGTGGGTACTACAACCCCCAATGTAACCTTCATTTTCACCCAACAAGACACTGATCAAACTCTGTACAGAAAAGCGGTTTCACATTAATTTTACAACATCTAAAATAACTCTCCATTTTCCGACCAATCCAAAAAGTAATCCACTCTTGGAAACATCCATCAGAAAAAATAAATAAAAAACCTTCAATAATGCGCCAACAACAAAAGTCCCAATTCTAGTCACGATCGCGCGTGCACATCAGTCCGCATGAGTCCACCGGAACATTTAATCCAATCTAAATATTTCCCCACAATGCAACCTGCTGGAGCCCGCGTCAGCCCGTTCAGTTGTGGCCGAACGAGGCGCGCCGTCTGCCCGTGACCTCTACCCAAAGAAATCACCAAATGCACGCACACGTTTTTTCCACAACATTGCCGCACAATTTCTCTCATATTTGGTGGAATTCCCGAAACATAAAATAAAAATAAACCAGCCTCACCTGTGCTCGCGCCCCCACGTCCCCCTCCTCTTCTCTATTCTGTGTTTTACATCCGTCTGTCCTGATCCCAAAGCCCCCGACACCCCGCGCGTAAAGACAGCTCTCACACGGGTGGATGGACGGCAGTGGTCCGAACGCGTCTGGAGAGATGCTGGGACACTATACTGAGGGAGACTGGTGTGGTGGTGGTGGGGGGGATACTGGGGGAGATACTGGGGGGAGATACTGGGGGAAGCCGCGCGCAACAGCGGAGGTCCTGTCTGCCTGGAAGTTGGGTGGTGGAATTGGAAGGATCGGGTCTGAACGCGGCGTGGATGAGACGCAGAGGAGAGAGAGAGAGGGAGGAGAGGGTGGGGAGAGGAGGATGGAGAGAGGGGGGGAGGTGGGGTGGCTCATTCAACAGTCTGCGACGCTCACGGTACAGAGATGAGACTGCGGAGGAGAAGGAGCTGCACTCTCAGGGCCGCAGCCACAGGACTCGTGCCGCGGCGTTTCTCGGCCTCAGGAGGACCGTAGGGAGGTAGGTTGGCTGTCACGTATCATACATTGATCTGAATCGCCCAAAAACACATCTATTTTTGAGAATGTGCTTCAGTGCAAGAGAGACGCCTCAGGTCCGCGGTGAGTGTCACATGTTATTTCAGCGGGGAGAATGAGAAGTTACATTTTTTGCTTGATTCTTGCATAATTTCAATTAATTTCCTGCAACAATAATCACATCTCAGGACTGCTGGGAGTTGAAATCATTAATCATAAATTACAGTTAAAGAGACAGTATGTCATGTTGAAAAACAAGGAGGACCCAAAAAGCAGAACTGCAAAATAATGGATATAATTAAAAGTATCCATCCATTCACCCTTTTTCTTCCACTTCATCCGTTGCCGGGTGGCGGGGGCAGCAGTCCAAGCAGAGACGCCCAGACTAGCCTCTCCACACACACTTCCTCCAGCTCGTCCAAGGGGACCCCAAGGGGGCACAGAGGGACAAGTCCCCAGTGGGATATGCCCAGAACCCCCTCACCAGGGAGGCATCCAGGGGGTAGAGCAAGCCATGGCGATCCAAGATGGCGCCGTATTCAAATTAATGGTTTGTACTCAGTGGCGCATTGTGCCGGCATGGGCGCCGAAAGATTAGCGGAAGTCGCCTGGATCTCGCAAAGATCCATGGGAACTCGCTTGTATCTGGGCATCGTCTGGTCCTCCTGGTTCTGTGCAGTGGATATTCTCCCATGATGCTTTGCACCAAATACGCGTGTGTGGCTCTCATGCACGTGCATAGAGGGGCTCGGCCGCGCTCTGACCAATCAGAGCTGCTGATCAGAGCGGGATGACAAGGGACACTAAAATCCACTCAAAATCCGACCTTTAAGAAAGCTGTAGGTTCTCTGTCAGGTTCTCTGTTAGGTTCTCTGTCAGGCTCTCTGTTAGGTTCTCTGTCAGGTTCTCTGTCAGGTTCTCTGTCAGGTTCTCTGTCAGGTTCTCTGTCAGGCTCTCTGTCAGGTTCTCTGTCAGGCTCTCTGTCAGGTTCTCTGTCAGGTTCTCTGTCAGGTTCTCTGTCAGGTTCTCTGTCAGGTTCTCTGTCAGGTTCTCTGTCAGGTTCTCTGTCAGGTTCTCTGGCAGCTGAGGTTGAGCTGTTTTAGTTTACGTTGAGTTCTATGGTGAAAATGTCTGTGTACTTTAGCCCACGTGAATTTAGCCTGGTTCAGTACCGCGAGAATCCCCCAAGCACATGGGTCCTTCAGCTCCAAGCTAGTAATACCCTATGCAGAGGAGCAGAGGAGGAGAGGAGCAGAGGAGGAGAGGAGCAGAGGAGAGGAGCAGAGGAGAGGAGCAGAGGAGAGGAGCATAGGAGAGGAGAAGAGGGGATAAACACTGTAGAGTGAGTGGAGGTGATTGAACACGGGTGTGAAGATAAAGGGAAACCTCTGCATTTGACCCATATCCAGAGAGAGACCAGAGAGAGACCAGAGAGAGACCAGAGAGAGACCAGAGAGAGACCAGAGAGAGACCAGAGAGAGACCAGAAAGAGACCAGTATAGGATGCCTCTCCAGAGGTTGATGCGCAGCACATCTGTAACACAGACTTTAGTGTTGTAGCTAAACCCCAGCAGGTGGACTGCACCAGTGCTGAGGAGCTCCATGTGTCAGAGGAAGAAGATTCTGGAAACAGAATGATTGTGTGATTGTTTTTTACTTAATTAGAAAACCAACACACAGATTCTACTGAGAGCAGACTCTCCACTTGTTTAAAACTGTCTGAAAAACTTTCCACAAAATGTTGTAAACTGAGAAACATCTTACGTACTATGTAAGGAAGTGTCTTGCTCCGGGCGGATTCAAACTTGCCATGGTTCTCTCTCTGGTCTCAGAGACCAGAGGAAGAAGAGACCAGAGAGGGCCTAAATTGAAGAGGACTGTTTTAAGCCTGGCCTTGTACGTAGAGACCGTGTCTGCTTCCAGCTCAATGCTCTGCCGCCGACAGTGCATTTTGAAACCTTAGGAACCCTCAGACGTCTGACGTTTTGCGAGCGCAGCGCTCGGCTTGGTTATGGCACTGATGTGTCGTGAAGATGAGAAGGAGCCAAGCCATTTATGGCTTTGTATGTTAAGAGAAGGATTTTAAACTTTATTCTGTACTCCACAGGGAGCCAGTGGAGTGATTTTAACACCGGAGTTATGTGCTCCCTCCTTTTGGTGCCTGTTAAGATCCTAGCTGCTGTATTCTGAACGAGCTGGAAGCTCTTCTAAGAGGTTTTAGTCCACGCTGCCAGCAGAGCATTACAGTAGTCAAGTCTTGAGGAGACAAAGGCGAGGATTAGTTTTTACGCGTCACTTTTAGGATAATCCTGATTTTATGGAAATACACTGTTTTAGTTGCTTGGTTTGTGTTTGCCTTGAAGGATGTTCTTTGTCAAATACGACTGCCTCACTTACTCACTTTCTAACTGCAACAGAATTCAGTGTGTTCATTCCTCTGTTTGTGTGACGTGAGCAGGAACACAGAGCGTGGCTCCATTGTGTCAGAGTTTCATCCTGAAAAGCAAAGAGGGTTTTCTCCTCTTCCTCTGCGTCTCTCGTGGCTGATGTTTGCGATAGCGCCGTCCTGAGCTGCTCCAGTCTCAACTTGGCTTCAGGCTGTTGAATAAACCCCAGTGAGAGAGAGACAGAGCTGCAGCAGAGCGAGACCAGAGCGAGACCAGAGCGAGACCAGAGCGAGACTGGAGCTGCACTGTCAGAGCTGCACCCACACGACCCAACACTTTTGATTACTTTTACCTGGTTTTATTTTGATTTTGGTTCTCTGGTCTCTCTCTCTCCTCTCTTTTTCTGGTCTCTTTCTGGTCTCCCTCTCTTTCTTTCTCTCTGCTATCTCTCTCTGCTCTCTGCGCTATTTCTGGTCTCTCTCTGCTCTCTTTCTGGTCTCTCTCTGCTCTCTTTCTGGTCTCTCTCTGCTGTCTCTCTGCTCTTTTTCTGGTCTCTCTCTCTGGTTAGTCTTTTCAGTCGTTTCCCTGCTCCACCCTCATGTGTCCATCGTCTCTTCCACACCTTGGGTAGTACTTCACTAAATTGCACCTTATTTTCAGTCCTGCCTTTTGCGACACTTTTTCATTTCAGCTCTTCACAGAATGGACAGACCACAAAAGGGAAAGCACAGGGTATAAATACACACAGGGAGACATCCGGGCGGGGCAGGTTTCTCACTTTTCTCCCACTGGGTTTTTAGACTTGTTCCTCCGACACTCCACATTTGACCACATTTATGAACATTGGTCTCTGCCCCTTATGGACCTATGTCTCTATGTGACAGAGGCAAAAAATGCATCTATGTGAAAACTAGTGATAGAAGAAACTGTTTTAGAGCCAGAGACCAGAGACGTGAGCCTCATTTCCACTTCAAAGCCATTATATATCTATTTATGACATTGTTCTATTGTTGTGGTGTGAAAGTCAAGTACCCGAGCTTGAAACAGCAGATAATTTAAGCTTTCAGTCGGAACTCAGAGAATCTGGAGCAGGGCTCTGTTGTTGAGGACGTGGTTTGATTATCTCTGGTCTTTCTCTGGTCTCTGTCTGATCTCTCTCTGGTCTCTCTCTCTCTCTCTCTCTCTCTCTGGTCTCTCTCTCTCTCTCTCTCTCTCTCTGGTCTCTCTCTCTGGTCTCTCTCTAGTCTCTCTCTGGCCTCTCTGCTCTTGCTAGTCTCTCTCTGGTCTCTCTCTGCTCTCTCTCTGCTCTCTCTCTCTGGTCTCTCTCTGGTCTCTCTCTCTCTCTCTGCTCTCTCTTTCTCTGCTCTCTCTCGCTCTGGTCTTTCTCGCTCTTTGAAGGGTTCTGTTGTGGAGGACGTGTTTTGTTTACGGAGCAGGAGGCGTCTCAGGACAAGGGCAGCGACTGCAGCTCCACACGTCGTTTGTCTTTGTCACATTTTGAAAAAACACACAATAATTATGAATCATGAAGCAGCGATTGTGTTCAGAGCTCAGGGGCCACAGACTGAACACAGACTGAACACAGACTGATCACAGACTGAACACAGACTGAACACAGACTGAACACAGACTGAACACGGAGCCAGGGCTGAGGAGAGACGAATGTGTGTGACATCACAGAGAACGACGAACGAGTCCAACTCTTCTGACAGGTGATCTCTGGTTTCTCGCCCTGTTCTCTCCCTGGTCCCTCTCTCTGGTCTTTCTCTGGTCCATCTCTGGTTTCGCTCTGTTCTCCCTCTCTAGTCTCTCTCAGGTCACTTTCTGGTCTCTCACACTGGTCTATCTCTAGTCTCTCTCTGCTCTCACCTGGTCTCTCCTTTGTCCCTCTCTGGTCTTTCTCTGGTGAATCTCCAGTCTTGCTTTGTTCTCTATCTCTGGTCTCTCAGAGGTAACTTTCCCGTGTCTCTCTCTAGTCTCTCCCTTTTGTCTCCCTGGTCTCTCTCTGGTCTCTCTCAGGCCTCTCCCTGGTCTCTCCGTGGTCTCTCCCTGGTCTCTCTAGTCTCTCCCTGTTTCTCTTGGTCTCTCTATCTGGTCTTTCTCAGGCTTCTTCCTGGTCTCTATCTGGTCTCTCTCTCTCTGATCTCTCTCTGGTCATTCTCAGGCCTCTCCCTGGTCTCTCTCCCTGGTCTCTCTCTCTGGTCTCTCTCCCTGGTCTCTCTCTCAGGCCTCTCCCTGGTCTCTCCCTGGTCTCTCTCTGATCCCTCCCTGGTCTCTCTCTCTGGTCTCTCTCCCTGGTCTCTCTCTCTGATCCCTCCCTGGTCTCTCTCTCTGGTCTCTCTCCCTGGTCTCTCTCCCTGGTCTCTCTCTCTGATCCCTCCCTGGTCTCTCTCTCTGGTCTCTCTCCCTGGTCTCTCTCTCTGGTCTCTCTCCCTGGTCTCTCTCCCTGGTCTCTCTCTCTGATCCCTCCCTGGTCTCTCTCTGATCCCTCCCTGGTCTCTCTCTCTGGTCTCTCTCCCTGGTCTCTCTCCCTGGTCTCTCTCTCTGATCCCTCCCTGGTCTCTCTCTCTGGTCTCTCTCCCTGGTCTCTCTCTCTGGTCTCTCTCCCTGGTCTCTCTCTCTGGTCTCTCCCTGGTCTTATAATGAATGAGTCAGTTCTGACAGGAGTTAAATTGGTTTGACATAAATGCTTTTCTCCTGATAAAGTTTTATAAACATTTATGAAATGTAAAATTCTCTATCTATAATCAGAATGAATGAGTGAGTCAGAATGAGTGGGTTCAGACACTAAAGAGAATAAGAAACAAAGAAAAGCGTAAATAAGCTAGTTCTTAATCGCCTTTGTCTCTCAGATCCATTATAGATCCATGCTCAGATCTCAAAGATGCATCAGACTGACCCCGCCCCCTCAGTGTGACTCCATCCCCTCAGCCAGCCCCCACCACTTCAGACTGACCGCGGCCCCTCAGACTGACCCCGCCCCTTCAGACTGACCCCACCCCCCTGTTGTCTCTGGAAAAGTGAGTCCCAAGTGTGAGCCAAGATGAAGGCCTCCCCATCTCTGTTGATGGTCCTGATTTCAATCATCTATCTATTGTATCCATGAATGACTCCGCCCCCTCAGACTCACCCCGCCCCCTCAGAATGACCCCACCTCCTCAGATTGACTCCACCCCTTCAGACTGACCCCACCCCCTCAGACTCACCCCGCCCCCTCAGAATGACCCCACCTCCTCAGACTGACTCCACCCCTTCAGATTGACTCCACCCCTTCAGACTGACCCCACCCCCTCAGACTCACCCCGCCCCCTCAGAATGACCCCACCTCCTCAGACTGACTCCACCCCTTCAGATTGACTCCACCCCTTCAGACTGACCCCACCCCCTCAGACTCACCCCGCCCCCTCAGAATGACCCCACCTCCTCAGACTGACTCCACCCCTTCAGACTGACCCCGCCCCCTCAGACTGACCTCGTCCCCCTGTTGTCTCTGGAGAAGTGAGTCCCAAGTGTGAGCCAAGATGAAGGCCCCCTTATCTCATTCATAATCTGTACTATGTGGAACAGTCTTCCTGAAAATGGTAGACAGGTTTCTACTTAAAAACAGGTTAAAAAAGGTTCAGTTTTGATGCATTTTTTTTGTTTATCTTCCCTAACCCTAACACTCTTTTTAATGTACTGTAATTATTTATTATTTGAGTGCCTTGTGTAATTGTTTCTTGGTTTCTTATGTCCTTTGAGTTTGTGCTATACAAAAAAATTGTTGTAATTAATTCTGTCCCTGTGTTTTCTTCTTTTGTACCTGTTTTAGCACTTTATTGTCTTCTCTGCTTTTGCAAAGGGCTTCACAAACAAACGGTTATTATTTGCTTCCAGTGTGTCGTGTTTTGTGTGTTTTGTGCGTCCATCAGAGCGTGACAAGTGCGTCCGAAGCCAAAGCCTCTGTCCACCTGAGCCAAAACCAGAACCAGGACCCAAAGGACCCGCCGGAGCCAAAAACCTGGGTCCTGCCAGCGCTGAGCCAGACTGTGACTCAGCGGCGCTCGTGCTTCTCTGGGTTCTGTCCCGGGTCCAGACCGTTCTGTCCTGGGTCCAGACCGTTCTGTCCCGGGTCCAGACCGTTCCCTCGTCGATCACTTCAACAGCCTCCCAAACAACAAACGGATTTCACGGAGAGCTTTCAGGCGTCTTGACACTTGGACTCCCACAATTCTGAGACGACTGGACCTCCCAGAGCCGTCATTTTGACTGCTCTCATCAATGGAATTATGAGAAATGTTCCCACAAATGTTTTATTAAAAGTAAGTTATAAGTAGTTAATTTTTTTCACCTGGTCTCTCTCTGGTCTCTCTCTGGTCTCTCTCTGGTCTCTCTGGTCTCTCTCTGGTCTCTCTTTGGTCTCTCTCTGGTCTCTCTTTGGTCTCTCTCTGGCCTCACTCACTGGTCTCTCGCTAGTCTCTTTTTTGTCTCTCGCTGGTCTCTCCATGGTTTCTCTCTGGTCTCTCTCTCCCTGGTCCTTCCCTGGTCTCTCTCTTGTCTCTCACTGGTCTTTCTCAGGTCTCTTTCTGGTCTCTCTCTGGTCTCTTTCTGGTCTCTCCCTGATCTCTCTCTAGTCTCTTTCTGGTCTCTCTCTGATCTCTCTCTGGTCTCTCTGGACTCTTTAGTCTTTGTCTGGTCTCTCCCTGGTCTCTCTCTGGTCTCTCTCAATGGTCTCTATTTGGTCTCTCTCTGGTCTCTGTTTCTCCCTTGTCTCTCTCGCTAGTCTCTATCTGGTTTCTCTCTAGTCTCTCTCTGGTCTCTCTCTGGTCTCTCTCTGGCCTCTCGCTAGTCTCTCTCTGGTCTCTCTCTGGTCTCTCTCTAGTCTCTCTCTAGTCTCTCTCTGGTCTCTCTCTGGTCTCTCTCTGGCCTCTCGCTGGTCTCTCTCTGGTCTCTCTCTGGTCTCTCTCTAGTCTCTCTCTAGTCTCTCTCTGGTCTCTCTCTGGTCTCTCTCTGGCCTCTCGCTGGTCTCTCTCTGGTCTCTCTCTGGTCTCTCTCTGGTCTCTCTCTGGTCTCTCTCTAGTCTCTCTCTGGTCTCTCTCTAGTCTCTCTCTGGTCTCTCTCTGGTCTCTCTCTGGCCTCTCGCTGGTCTCTCTCTGGTCTCTCTCTGGTCTCTCTCTGGTCTCTCTCTGGTCTCTCTCTAGTCTCTCTCTAGTCTCTCTCTGGTCTCTCTCTGGTCTCTCCGGGCCTCTCTCTGGTCTCTCTCTGGTCTCTCTCTAGTCTCTCTCTAGTCTCTCTCTGGTCTCTCTCTGGCCTCTCTCTGGTCTCTCTCTGGTCTCTCTCTGGTCTCTCTCTGGTCTCTCTCTGGTCTCTCTCTGGTCTCTTGCTGGTCTCTCTCTGGTCTCTCGCTGGTCTCCCTCTGGTCTCTCTCTGGTCTCTCTCTGGTCTCTCTCTGGTCTCTCTCTCTGGTCTCTCTCTGGTCTCTCTCTGGTCTCTCTCTGGTCTCTCTCTGGTCTCTCTCTGGTCTCTCCCTGGTCTCTCTCTGGTCTCTTGCTGGTCTCTCTCTGGTCTCTCGCTGGTCTCCCTCTGGTCTCTCTCTGGTCTCTCTCTGGTCTCTCTCTGGTCTCTCTCTGGCCTCTCGCTAGTCTCTCTGGTCTCTCTCTGGTCTCTCTCTCTGGTCTCTCTCTGGTCTCTCCCTGGTCTCTGTCTGGACTCTCTCTAGTCTCTCTCTAGTCTCTCTCTGGTCTCTCTCTGGTCTCTCTCTGGTCTCTCCCTGGTCTCTCTCTGGTCTCTCTCTGGTCTCTCTCTGGTCTCTCTCTGGTCTCTCCCTGGTCTCTCTCTGGTCTCTCTCTGGTCTCTCTCTGGTCTCTCCCTGGTCTCTCTCTAGTCTCTCTCTGGTCTCTCTCTGGTCTCTCCCTGGTCTCTCTCTGGTCTCTCCCTGGTCTCTCCCTGGTCTCTCTCTGGTCTCTTTCTGGTCTCTTTCTGGTCTCTCTCTGGTCTCTCCCTGGTCTCTCCCTGGTCTCTCTCTGGTCTCTCTCTGGGTCTCTCCCTGGTCTCTCTCTGGTCTCTTTCTGGTCTCTTTCTGGTCTCTCTCTGGTCTCTCTCCCTGGTCTCTCTCTGGTCTCTCTCTGGTCTCTCCCTGGTCTCTCTCTGGTCTCTTTCTGGTCTCTTTCTGGTCTCTCTCTGGTCTCTCCCTGTCCTCTCTCTGGTCTCTCTCTGGTCTCTCCCTGGTCTCTCTCTGGTCTCTTTCTGGTCTCTTTCTGGTCTCTCTCTGGTCTCTCCCTGGTCTCTCTCTGGTCTCTCTCTAGTCTCTCTCTGGTCTCTCTCTGGTCTCTCCCTGGTCTCTCCCTGGTCTCTCTCTGGTCTCTCTCTGGTCTCTTTCTGGTCTCTTTCTGGTCTCTCTCTGGTCTCCCCCACTCACTTATTGCAGAGTGGTTTTCCTTCAGTTTTAAATCTGCTGAAAACACAAACCAGTAACAACATTTAAATGTTGGAGCAAAATGATTTGACAGAACGCAGACTTCGGAAACTATTGCGTCGTAAATTATCGTCAGATTATTGGGAGTGACACGTTACACACTTGGAACCTTGGCTCATTTTTGCTCAGGATTCGGGAAAACCTGACTTCATGGACTCGTAAAATACAAAAGGAAAGAACAAGGATCTAAAGTGTTTCCATGGAATGAGGTTGTGTGAATGATTATGATTTCAGAAAGGGCCTCGTGTCTGTTCGTGATTATTGTCTCCGCTTCTGGATCTTTATGAATAAATAATGAGACCAGAGATATTAGATAAATGATCTCTAAACCATGCCAATGTAAGTGCCTCAAAAGTGATTCTCAATTATTGTTGTTAAATTCCAAGTAAGGATGAAAGAGGTTAGTCCAAGCTCCTTTAGTCCTGCTCTAGACCTGCTCTAGTCCTGCTCTAGTCCTGCTTTAGTCCTACTTTAGCCTTCATTTAGTCCTACTCTAGTCCTGCTCTAGACCTGCTTTAGTCCTGCTCTAGACCTGCTTTAGTCCCACTTTAGTCCTGCTTGAGTCCTTTTATAATCCTGCTTTTTGGCACCACCTGTGTGTGAAAGCCAGACCCTGTCAGACTTCTGAAGCTAAGTGGTGCAAGGCCTGGTTAGTACTGCAATGAAAGACCTTCGGGAACAACAGATTCCACTGTGGGGAACCTGGGTAAATTCCTTGGTAGCCATGGCTTCCAGCGACACTCTGGCCAATCTCTGTCTGTTAAAACACTCACCAGCTCGGCTCGTAAAGTAGAGTAAAGTAGAGTAGGGTGAGGTAGAGTAGAGTACGGTGAGGTAGAGTAGAGTAGAGTAGAGTAGAGTAGGGTAGGGCAGGGTAGGGTAGGGTAGGGTAGGGTTGGGTAGAGTGGGGTAGAGTAGAGTAGAGTAGAGTAGAGTAGAGTAAGGTAGAGTGGGGTAAAGTAGAGTGGGGTAGAGAAGGGTAGAGTAGAGTAGAGTAGAGTGGGGTAGAGTAGAGTTGGGTAGAGTAGACTAGAGTAGGGTAGGGTAGAGTAGAGTAGAGTTGGGTAGAGTAGAGTAGAGTAGAGTAGAGTAGGGTAGAGTAGAGTAGAGTAGGGTAGAGTAGAGTAGAGTAGAGTAGAGTAGGGTAGGGTAGAGTAGAGTAGGGTAGAGTAGAGTAGAGTAGAGTAGAGTAGGGTAGAGTAGAGTAGAGTAGAGTAGAGTAGAGTAGGGTAGAGTAGAGTAGAGTAGTGTAGGGTAGGGTAGGGTAGGGTAGGGTAGGGTAGAGTAGAGTAGAGTAGAGTAGGGTAGGGTAGAGTAGAGTAGAGTAGAGTAGAGTAGAGTAGAGTAGGGTAGAGTAGAGTAGAGTAGGGTAGAGTAGAGTAGAGTAGAGTAGAGTAGAGTAGAGTAGGGTAGGGTAGGGTAGGGTAGGGTAGAGTAGAGTAGAGTAGAGTAGGGTAGGGTAGGGTAGGGTAGGGTAGAGTAGAGTAGAGTAGAGTAGAGTAGAGTAGAGTAGAGTAGAGTAGAGTAGAGTAGAGTAGAGTAGAGTAGAGTAGGGTAGAGTAGAGTAGAGTAGAGTAGAGTAGGGCTGTTGGAAAGGTTGAAACATTGCTTAACTATTGGTGACAGAAGAAAAAACGTATCTATTTCATCTCGTTTATGACATAATTACAAATCAATACTGAGATGTTAAAATGCTCTACATGTAAAACAAGCCATAGGGGGCGCTGTAGAGCAGGCAGGGCCTAAACGCAATAGGAGCCGCAGGAACGTGACGCTAAGTGCCTCGTGACGCGTTCCAATCTTGTTTATGGCCGTGATGTCATCTCAAGGAGACGCGTCCCGGCGAGGTCGCAACATGGCAGTATTCTCACAGATGTCACCCTCGCCACTCTTCAATCAACGACTTTTTTATCGACGCTCGGATGGAAGCGTTTTCTCCATAAATCGCCGCTGAGTGACTGTGTGGAGGGCGAAGTGGCGCTCTGCTCGACGGCACAAGGTCAGAGGCAGCGCGCGTGACGGTGAGTGGACTTAATGACGTCGTAAAAAGCTGGAAAACACCTGACGTGCGACGGCTGTTTCAGCTAATTAGCCGTTAGCGCTTCACCGGTTTCACGGCCGTCGCTGGGGGAGGTTTGTGAGCGACGAGGCGAGGGCTGCTCACGGCGTCTGCACCAATCAGAAGCCGAGAGAACGTGAAGTTACACTGACGTTCGAGCGGCGTGTCCCTGGAATAATAAATGATGTTAATTCGTTGTGGATCCACATTAGTGCGATGAGAAATCACCAAAAGGCACAGGAAGTGAAGTACCACATGAGAGAACACTACAAAGGTCATAGAGAAGAAGAAAAACACTTTCTGCAGCAAAACAAAGAGAGCGTCGTCCGTCACCTCCAGTCTCTCTCCTAAAACCTTCAAATCAGGTCAGAAACCTGGGAGTAATAATGGACTCTGACATATGTAAGGGATAACGTATATTACGCAGGTCATTATCGGAAAATAAGTACCGACAGGGCGAAGCAGACCCCGACGCGAAGATAAAATAGTTCCCAAAGGCTTTCCCGTGGCTATGCTAGCAACAGTTAGGCTAGCAACTTCCAAACTAGAACTCTCTGGAACTGCATGAAAACTGAACAAAGAATTCTGAACATCAGCGGTGAGTGACCCAAACATAAACTTAACCTAAATCCATAATTCCATCCTCTGCAAATGTTCCTAAAATGTGCCGGTATCTACTA